ATGTGATACTCCCTGTGCTGGGGAGAAAAATCCAAAGAAGTGAAAAGGTAAAAAATAATGAAGGTTTAAACAGTTCAAGACTAAAGTCACAGAAAGAATGGCCCAAGGAAATACGTAACTACTAAAGACAATGCGTTCATGTGAGAGAACAAACTGCTCTAGGGTACCATGGACAAGGAAGGCTTTGCAAGGAGGGCTAGTGTGCTGGGTTCTGGTGAAAGGTATCTGGAGAGGTAAACAGGGGAAAGGTCAGTTAAGGCAAGGGGAATGGTGTGACGAGAAACATAAATGTGGACATGCACACATTTTACTTAACTGTCCAAATTGGCTAGAGCTGCAGGTCTATGGACAGGGGTATATAGACTGACCAAGTTAGAAAGTTAATTTGGACACTGGTTTTGAAAGGCCATGTATTTCCTCCCCTCGCTTTTCTAAAAGTCCAAACCTGTATGATTTAAAAGTATATGTATTCTAATACATTCTTATTCTAAGGGAAAATAAAACAACAGCACCTTGATTTGTTAACAGGCAAAATGTCCTAATGATGAGGAGGAAAAAAAAGCCATGTGAAGTGAGAAAAGATAGACTCTTTGCATAACTCATTTCTGTGTGCTAATACATGCCTAATTCAAAATAAGTAGCTCGATAAATGAAAAATAATACTTAGGTTAATAATGTTAAATCATTCACAGATGACATTATCATAAGACTTGAGAAAAAATAAGAAAAAAAATTGAATTTTAAAAGGATGATCGAATACTCGGTGGCTCTTAAGATCACAAAAGCACTGTGTGATTTATAATTATTGGTACAATTCTTGAATCTTTGCCTAAGCCAAAGAATCTAACTCTATAAAACTGTGTCCTGACACCAATTTTAGAATCTGCATTGTTTACCCTCCTAGAAAGCTAACATAAACATACTGTACAGCATTTAAAACTCAGCTCCTCTGGGGCCTAGTAATCCCTAAGACAAACCCATGTTCACTCCAGCTTATTCCAGCTGAGTTAAACGTCCCCTCCCACCAGCCCCAGTTTCATCAAACCTGGATGACTCACAGGCCATTAAGCACATTCCCTCTTTCAGTGGTTTTTCAATCAGGCTTGACGTTGACATTCTTTGCCCTAGTCTACCTCTCCAAATACTCTCTCACAGTACCCACATCAACTCCTCACTGAAGGGCAGGGGTAAGTTACTTGTAGTGAAATAGCTAAAATGTTCTAAAAACGAAGCTTGTATATTCCTTTCACAACTCAAGAGTGAGGTACAGGTGGGAGAAGTAGATTTGAGAAGAGTAGAGAAGGACTTTTCTGACCTTCCTTAGGCCCCAGCTAGGCCTGAATCTGAAAGATCACACTGCCTTCAGACCATGATATTGAGGAAAGGGGAATGACAGTGACCCCCTAAACTTCATAAGCTGCATAAGGGCAGTGACCAAGTATTTTCCTTCTTTCCCCAAGGCCCAGAACTGTGCCTGCACATGGCAAGTGAATATGGAAAGAATGAATGATAATATTAAGCCTGGCTTCCAAATTTTGTTATCATCCTCCAAGAGTCCTCCCTCTTCCTGTACCACTTATCCCTTCTTCCTTCTGCCCCCTCCTAAGTGAATTCAAGGACCCAGCTAGGTTGGCCTTTTATATTCTAACTTCAACTACCAAGTAGACATGATTTTTTCACCAAAATTTTGGGTACTGTATCTGTGAACAGAGGGGCAATGTCAATCCCTCCCCAACCAATAGACATGTGTACCCATACCCTATGAACAGCAGCTGTTCTAATAAATGTGGTCAAAAAGAAATAGAGCAGCTCAGGAGACACTTGGCTTTATTGCAGGCATTCTTACTAACTTTTCAGGATATTTCTATGCTAAATGTCAGGTACACAAAAAGATATGACATACATTTATTAAAAGAATAATAAATTAATGCAGTGGACAATGTAGATAATTTGGGTGTTTACAGACTGGGGAATATTTGATTCATTTGTTAAAAAAATTTATATACAACTTTTCTTAATTAGACATACACTTTGAGTCTAGGATCCCAGTCCTAATAATTTTAATGCACCCATTAAGTAAAAGAATAGAAAGAAAAAAACAAACAATGACATCAGAGTACCTACTCCAACACCCTCAGGTGGTTTAAAGTGCTATATCAGTCTATACTTTCCCCTACTATAAACAAATATTAACTTCTTGTTAAAACATCCAAAACTATAATATAGAAAAATTAAAAATTATTTTTGTTGTTTTCTAAAAGTACAGTTCTTTCAAACTTTCAATTCCAATGTACAAAGTGTTAAAGATATAGTAAAAATAACATTTTCAGTGTTAACACATTATGCACCATATTCTGTATTTGCTAGATTTGTGCCTTTGAGAAGCCCAGTTTTAATACATTGCTTTGGATATGTTTTATTAAATAGCACCATTTGATATAATAGCACAAAATAACATTTTTCCAGAAACTGCTTGCCTAGGGCAAAAACCTCTTGGACCATCAAATATACTCTACGAATCTATAACTGCTCCTTTATGAAAGTGCAAAGCAGATACAGTTTACTTGCACTCAAGTAGAAACCTCAATGGAGAGAAATATTTAATTAACTAATAAAAGAGAAAGAAAGAACTACAGCCCTAGGAATGAAAACACTCAAGGGCATGGAGCCTAGCTTACTTCTTGCTCTCCCTCAATAATTTGCATCCTTTCACCACACTCATGACTATTTCGCAAGACCATCTTTCTCTCCCGCCCATTTTTGTTTCCCCCTGATTCACCAACTTTTCTTGAACCTCATCTAATAAGCTACTTTTCTACTTTGGCTCCCCCAACCCAGATTTTCATGAAATGATGCTGAGAGGCTATCCCCTTGGAATCCAAGCAGAGTGATGAGTCAAAGAAAAGGAACATGGAGAGCACAGAAAGGGGTGGAGTAAAAGGAAATAGGACCATAGACTTCAAGTCTATTCTGCCTGAACCTGAAAAACACTCCTCCTTACACAGCAGTAAAGCAGAACAGACTATATCCACTAAGCCTCTCTGCTGGTTAAGAAATACCATCTGCCTACATAAGGTAGCTTGGTCCAGAACGCAAGGAAGCAGTGTCAGGTTTCGTAAGTGGATAGTCAGAGCATGGGCAAACACCTTCCCTCAGACCTGCTTGTGAGAGGTCACTTGTGTTCCAGTGGCTACTCTCACTTCTCAGGGTTGGCCCACAATATTATATTATTTTATATGCCCTTCACCAGTAGCAAGCTTTCACATGAGGCAACGGCACAAAATTTCCTATTTCATTCGTGGTATTTTTTACACAAACATCATTAGGAAAGAATTATCCATCACAGAAAAGTACATTCTATCTTTGCTCTCAATTTTTCTTTCTGAGACTCTAGAGATGGGAAAGCTCCCAGATAGGAAGGGAATGACAGACAGGACCGAGAACTACTGGGTGTGGCTCTGGCTATATGGAGATTGAAGAACCTCAAAAACTCCTAAGTATGCAAAGTGCAATTACCTGCAAAGAGCTTGTCTGATATTCAGCTCGGCACCATTGTGTAATGAGAAGCCCTGACGCAATGTTTAAAGAACTCAAATCACAGAGATGAAGAGAAAGGCACATCTTTCCCAATTTTTGCAGGTACATAGGACAAAACTTGAAGAAAAACTCCATAAAAAACTGTCTTTTAACCATTTTCAGTTGTAACGACTTATTAAATGGCTTATTTCCCATTGACAAATTTGAGATCTTATGAAAAAGAATATACCTTTCTAAAGAAGTGAACATAGCATCAATGTCAAAGAATCATTTTGTCTCACACAAAAATAATTCCAGCGAATGCACATATATCCCACGTATCCGATTATATTCACGCTGTAGCCAGTGTTCATTTACTCTAACAACAACAAACACAAAAACTACAGGAATACATTTTCATTTCTAAGGAGGGAAGACAGAGTCACAACGTGGAATCTTAATTTCCTCCACTGATGGGATGCAGTGTGAAACTGCAAAAGGACTAGAAAAATTTACCCCATAAGAGCATTTCTAAAATTCCTTAAACCTAATTTTAGATTTAAAAAACTTGTAAATGCTTTAAAAGCAAAGCAACGAAGCAAATAAAGAAATAAATGGTAAAATGTAAAGATATCATAATATCACAACGGGGCTCCAGGAAGGCTGCATAACTCAACCAATTGACAGCCCAGCCAAAGGAACTCCAACAGTTAAAAGGAAAAGTTTGCTGCTTTAAGAAAACCGTGCATATGTAGACTTCTGGGACGACCTCTAGGTGCTGCTGTAGAGACCCCCTTCCGAAAGACTTATTTCTTCCCCGGTGTTTTAGCCTCCCCCTCCCCTTGACCGCAGTGCGCCAAGCCACTACAGACAATCGCTTCAAACGTATCCGCTGCTGAAAAATGCCTCAGAAACTAACACTCTTCAAGGTTCAAGGAGCCAAACAATGTTTAGTTTTCAGGCCAAATTATATTACAGACGGATGAGCTAGAGAGAAGAAAATATTAGCAGGGTTGGGTCAAAGCAACCAGGCGGCTAAAGCAGCAAAAAGACGGCGACCATTGGAGCCCTCCCCTTTCCCCAGCCCTCTCTTCATACAGAATATTACTCAATGTTGAAACTAATCCTATGTGCAAGGCCGAACTGTGAGATGAGCTGGGGAGAGGTAGGAGTATAGGGTGGGGCGGTTCCTGCGATGAGCTCTTGGCTGGACAGGCTCCATCTGATCTGTCAGCTCCCGCATCCGAGAAGCTGATGAGAGATGGTGGAAGCTCAGAGGAAAACCGTGCGAGTGTCGCGGGGGTGCGGGGCGGGGAGGCCTTAACGTTCGGATCAGATTAACCAGCGCACGGCCGAGCTGCCCGCGCCGGCACCTCCGCTGATCCGCAGCATCCTACCAGCCCAAGGGCGCTCCGAGAACAGGGGCTGGTGCCCCCAGCGAGGCAGCGGCCCGCAGGACCAGGCGAGGATGGGGAAGCCTTTACCTGCGATGGACCAGGTCCAGCGGTAGAACTCCACGGTGTCGTTGAGCGCCGTGGACACCACGTTCAGGACACTGCCCGGCTCCGAGTCCAGGAGCCCCATCGCGGCGACGAGCAGGCGCTGGCGGCGGCGGCGGCAGGGGAAAGCGGAGACCCCGCGAGAGGGTCGACCTCAGAGGAGACGGCCGAGGGGGCGCGCGGCAGCCGGGGACCCCTCTAACGGCCGCGGCCCAGCTCCGTCTTCGCTCCTCCTCTGAGCGCCGCAGCGGCGGGGATGCGGTGGCAGCTACGTCGACGAGCGGGGCCGAGAAGGTGTCGTCAAGGCACCCAGGAGGAGGAAGAGGAGGAGGACGAGAAGAAGGAGGTCTTGCCGCGAGCGCCGGGCGCTGCACCAGTCTGCCGCCTGGCGCCGCCGCCGCTCCAATCCCCTCCGCCGGCGTCACGTGGGCCCACGCGGGGGCGGAGGGGCCGGCGCACCCCTCCTCCCTCCGGCGCGCTAGTGCTCTCTTGCGCAGAGATGCTGCGGTCTCGGGGTGGGGGGGGGGTAGGACCGGAGCCAGACATGCGCAGGCGCATGCCGCCCCCATCCCCATCCCTCACCCCTCCTCCTGTCGTGCCGGAGCCAGACACCTGGCCCCTCCTTGCGACCTCTCCGCGAGTCTCCCCATCCTCCTTCCGCCTCCCTCCCCGGCATCAGGCCCCTGCGGAGAAGTACACACGCTGTCTTCCCACGGGTGACCTCGCATCCGCCCCGGATAAGTCCTGGGAAACAGGGCAGGAAAGAATGTGTATTTTGTGGGCAGAGATGAGGTAGGCGAGGTGCTTTAGTCTTTACGTGTCACTCACCTTGATTTCACGTGTGTTCTGTTTCTTTCACCAACACCGGCACATGCTTCTCACCGTGAGAAGGGATATGAACGAGTTGTCCCTATAAAGAATGAAAGGATATTTGTCTTACCTGCTACAGCGATGGAAAATAAGCTTTGGGGTCTACTCATTAACAAATTAACATATAATTGAATGAATGCTTCCATGTGTTGTGTAGACTCTTAATATACATGGAAAGATCAAAAAGCAATGTAATGGTGTTAAATTAGGCCATTAGTACTTTAGAGAAAAGGGAGAACAGAGAGGGGTCTTACAGGTAGAGAAGTGTGCCTGGATCTGCAGGAGTTGAGGTGAATCTAAAAGGATAATCGTGCAAGAGACAAAGGGCAATATAGTTCAGAGAGGAGAACAAAGTAATTTTTTTATTTTAAAAAATTGTTAAGAAGAAGGTGGGATGCAGTAGGAGAACCTGCCCTGAAAAGTAGCAACAATACGATGCATAAATTCATAATTTGATAGTTTCTGACATAAAACAGTATCTTTGAGAATGGTCCAATAACCTTTTCATCTATTTATTATTTAAATCTGTCACATATTTCCTTCTTTATCTTTTCTCCACTTGTTGATTTAGGGTGCTACATTTTAAAGGCCGCTGAGTCAAGTATGAAATTGTTTCTGCCCTTTGGCACAGTTGTGAATACTACCTTTTATCATATTTATTTGATTTATTTATTTTCCAATTGACCCAGTTATATATCCGTTGTCTATATTTTATATTGGAATCATCCTATAGGATAAGAATTATTTTTGGTTGCTTGATGAGGACCTAACCCAGTGCTATAAATAGTAACTAATAAATATTTATGCTGACAAAATTATCACATACTTCTTTCAGAGCATAATAAGGATTATTGTAAGTGGCAGGAGCTGGAGGGAAAGAAGGTAATTAAAACTAACTGATTTGTTGTATAACTCAAGCAACCACAAGCTTTAAATGCTGTATTCTTGAAATTAACCAAATAAAATGTAATTTATTAATTTGTCAAATATATTTGCCAAACTAAAGTTTCCTGTATTGAAATA